TGTAGTCACATTTCAAAAATAGTAATTGGCATTTTTCAAGACTGTCGATTGACTAGATGCGGCGTCCTGTTTTATCAAAGAGCATGAGGAAACTTTTGATTTTAAAAAGTAAATTCACTCAGCACACGCAGAATCAGGTGCATTTGTAGTCAAGCTTCAAAGTTCATTTTTCAGAAAAGGCTGTGGAAACTTACGAAAGAACAGTTTTGAAAAGAAAGTTTTGAAATAAAAAGGAACGATAAAAGATAAAAGAGAGGCTGAGAAAAATTCACTTGAAAACGTGGCGACTCCACTGGTTTTCCACTTTCTTCCATTAAAAGCTCTTTCAAAGCATTTTTCTAGTTGATTTGAAGTGGTGAAAATATCTGCAAATGTTGGAAAAACACTTTCGAATTGTTATTTTCAAGCTTAAAGGCATAGGAGCAGTATGGGGTTTCAGGTGAGAAAGCATTATCTTATATAGGTCTTTACCGTGAATTCAAAGTAACCTTTGAGAAAAGTCTCGGAACAAAATGGACAATCTCGAGAGAGGAAAATGGACAAAATTAGCATGAAACCAGCTTTTCGACGCGACAAAAGCGCGCCAATCGGACAAGATTCGGCCAAAACAAAAGGCGAAAGTTTTTTAAATTCTCAAGTTTACAATCGATCCAAAAAATTTGAAGTTTATGCTGATTGACTCATTTCGAAACAAAAATAATGAGGAAAATTTTAAAAATGTGAGAAAATTTGTATCATGCGGCAAGTGGATATGCGTCGCTGGAGAATCATAAATGTTTGATATAAGATCTTATTAGCACCGTCCAGAGCGCACCCTGAAAAGTTTTTTCGCCAAGCTTTATTCATAACCAAGTTCAAAAATTCCTGATATTTAAAGCGCCCGAGTTTTCAAATCGTCTCTACTTGGTTGTATGGCCTTGAAAATTGTCTCGAAAACTCTCGAAAATTTTCCAAAAAAACTCAAAAAAGGTCTCGGAAAATGTCATTTTTCCACTGAAATTACAACTTCGAGGCGTTATAACTCAACGAAATCGCAAAATTATCTTTTTTTTCCCTGACAAGTGCGCTCTAGGGAACACCTTATCAAAGTTTCCATCAAATTTAAAAACTTGGCATTTTCGTGACTCCCAGTCTCAAGGAAAAAAAAACATTTTTGATATAAATCTGAAAATCCTAAAGTATATAATTATGAATCATTTTCCAAGGCCGCCTTGAACAGTTTGTTTAATTGTTATCACAGCCAAAAGGGCCGGTCTCAGCGAGGTTTCAAGCTAAAAGGCCCAAAGAGCTCAATATAAAGTCAGACATTACGAGACTCGGCTTAAAGTCAGCTCTTTCTCTAAAGTGCAGCTTAGTAACAATGATTTTAAAATTAGTTTTGTCCGGTTTCGAAAAGTTTTGTCATCCCCGGCCCGGATCGCTTTTGCGAGCTTTGATCACAGCTTGCAAAGAGAAGTTTTCAATTTCAAACTTTCACGTATTCTTTAAAAAATTGAAAAAGACGAGAACTTGCTTGATAAAAGACCTCATTGCTGAATGACTTGTCGAATCATTTTGTCGTTTCTCATTTTGATGCTCCTTTCGACCACAGTGGTGCATATTTTCAGTTTGCAGAAGAAAGTTGTTCTCAGAAATTCGGTCGGATCATAATGATAGTTCTAGGAAGACCATAGGTTTTCAGTATCAAGGAGTCTCTAGAAAAGATTCTCTTGAGTTTGAGTAATCGATGCTAAAAGTAAGATTTTTGGATTTTTGACTGAATTTTAATTCAAATCTTCTTTTAATTTCTTTTTAATTTCGTAATTTTGTGTTTCCATAACAATGAAATATGTTATTCTTTTCGAAAACTATGACCTTTTCTCTCTCAGAACTAAAAACCGTTTTGAAGTGGATCTTTGAGAAAAGTTAAGACCATCTTTTCATGAAATATTGGACAATGACGAGCTTTTTAGATATCAATGTTTAGATTTCGAAGTTCTGAATTCAAAACTGTACGAATTTTCAAGAAATACGTATTTTTGATAGTACAAGAAAAATTAAGTCCGTGATATTGAAGCACCGTAATCCGGTGTACGCAGATCTCAAGGCCAATCTTGGAAACCAAAAAACTCTCATTTTCGTCCAATTTCTCGAACCTTTTTTCATATTCTCTTTTTCCGATCTCCAAATATAGTTTGGGATAAATTCTAATTTCCAAAGCGATGATTTTTATTTTCCCAGATGATATTTCTGATATTAGCGGACTCGAATTATTTTCGTAATATCGCTTTTTTGAACCTTTAAAACTTGAAATTTATGGAAAACAATCATTTTGAAAAAGTTGCGGACCAAATTCCCCAGCGTGCTTTGGATAACCATTCCGGTATAATTTTAATGATTAGACCCATTTTTCAGGAAGCTTCGGAAGACAAGTCGAGAAGAAAAGTCCCAGAAGTCAAAAAACTACAAGTCGAAGGGTCGGCTCACGAATTTTTTCCAGTCTTTTTTCCCTTCTTTGTGATTCTTTTCGGTGCTGCGATAAGGTACTGAACAAATGAATATTCATCTTTTTTTCAGATTCAAAATCAATATTATCAAAACAAAAACAAGCATTTCAGGCAATAAAAAGGTTAAAAAAGGGCACTTTTCGGGGCACCAGTATCGCGAAAAATTACATCGCTTAAAAAAAATGACAATTTCGCGGATTGCACAAGAAAAGGCACGAAATTAAAAGCATGAAAATGTGTTAAAGCTAACATTGGAAAAATGGTTCAGAATGATTGAAATTAAGAAAAAAATGCAAAAAAATGCGATTTTCTATGATTTCCGTCGATTGTGGAGTTGGAAAAATCTTTCAATCAAAGCAGAAATCAGCGAAAATAATGTACTAAAAATCAAAATAAAGGACTGCAATAAAATGAAAAATTCTGGGCCAAACTTTGATGAAAAATACGACACAAAAATCCAATAGTTTCTACATGAAATTTGAAACCGAAAAATCAGGATAATTTGAAATAAATGAACATTTTCAAGGCACAAAATTGGCGGGAATGTTCACAGGGCAGTTGGAAAAATAAATGAGGGAAATTGGCAAAGTTTAACATATATATTTGAATTTTTCTATTTCTGGATTCATAGGTTATAGGAAGGAAAATCTATAAATGAATATAATAGTGGTAGTTAAGGTGAGTTCCAATATTGAAAATCCTCTTGAAGAAAAATTTTGGATTTGGTGGCCAGTTTGAAATTTCAGAAATTCGCCTGGAATTAATTTTAGATCCTTCCAAAGCTAAAAAAGCATAAAATAGCATTTTTGGCGTATTTTAAATAAGCTAACTCGAAAATTGTCTTTCTATCATTAACACAGCATTCCTAATGGGGTAAGGGTAGGGACCGCAAAGCCACGCCCCTTTTCGCGATAGAAAAAAGTGGCTTTTTGGTTTTTCAACTTTCATTTTGTTGTAGTTGCAAAATATGTGGAACTGGATAATAAATTTTTGACACACATGTACAGAAAAAAAGCTTCCTCTTTCGTTTAAAAAAATTTTTACGCTTTTTTTGATGCGTTCTCGCGGAATGTCGTACAAAAGCGTGAATGCAACTAAAAATTTGTCATTTTTTTGCTTTTTTTATGTGTTTTTCAGGTCGAACGCACTCTTTCTTTTTTTATATAATGATTTTTGATTCAAGTAACGGTATTTTTTTAAAACAATAAAATAAAAAAATTCGTCTTTGCCAAAAATTTTTAGGGAGTGCCGAAAGTCGTAATTCAAAAATATCGTTAATATGCGAATAGAATCGAGTTTTTCTTTTTTCAAAATTTAGATCACGGGCTTACTTAAATATTTCTCCACAGAATATGTGCTTGAAAAAGTTGTTTATTACGCAAAAATGCTCTTGAAAATAGAGAATAAAATTAGCGGCGTTTATCACACAGAAAACGGTCGAACGCAGGTTTTTTTAAACGATTATATACATTTATTAGTAAAAAAATCTTTCAATTAAAAAGAATGAAATAAAAAAATTCGTCTTTGCCAAAAAAATTTACGGGGCCGTTTTAAGGCAGCGATCGTTAAAAAGAGGCAAAAAAAGCACTAAAAAAACAGTTTTTTTCGAAGTGAATTTTCACGGAAAGTTTGAGTAAAGATTTGCGAACATATTCTGATAAAAAAATAGCTTAAATTACTTCAAGTTTTTTTATTTTTTTGAAATAGACAATCTGTGCTATTTAAACGGCTGAAGGGTATGGCGGATGGAAGCTCCCCGCGCTAGACCTGACAGCTTGGCGCAGTGCGTGCGCTGCGATTTTTTTCATTTTGAGGTCGCGAGTTCGATGCCCGCAAGCGTCAGTTTTTTTGTTTTCTGGAAAATACTGACTTTTTTTCGGCAAACTAGCAAATATTCATCATTTTAGCACTCTATTATGATTTGTTACATCATAATAGACCAGTATCAAAAACTTGTTCTAGAAGAAAAAAATCGAGAAAAAAATTTCAAAAATGGATAATACCAAAATTTAAGTACTAAAAATGGTGCGCGGCGCGCCACATTTTTTCGTCATAACTTTTTTTCATCCTCAACCTTTTTTTCGAAAAAAACTAAACGGTTCTGAGTTTGGACTCGAAACAGCTATCAAACCATACAAAGCTCAATGCTGAAAAAAAAATTTTGAAAGTTCGTCTGCGGTCCCTAGGTAAGGGTTGGTGAGCGAGGCGTCAAACTTTCTAAGCTTACAAAAAAAATTTAGTGCGCGCTACGGATAAAATGCACTGAGTATCAAACGTTAATAACTTGTTTGTTCGATCGCCTCTGGCTGTGTACTATAGATTTCAAATTTCGCGCCAAATTTTTTTTTTGAGGTCTCCCCACCCCGTTTGGGAACACCGTGATTAAATCAGAAGTCCTTTGAGTAAACTCTAGCGAGATTCTATCGAAATTTCAATAGGCCACCAAAATTTTTCGAAAAAAGAGATACTTGTCAAGCTTGGAATCAACAGCAAAAGGAAAAAAATGCATAGTTTTCACCTGTAAGGAAAGTTTTGATAGTATTGAGGATAATTCCAAATTTGAGCAGGATTCGGAGGATTTTGTTCGAAGAAATCCCCGACGGTCGGCTGTTGAGGCTCGGCAACTGGTTGAGCTGGAGCAGCTGCCGTGGCCGAGGAGTCGAACGGCTGATTCTCGTGCATGTAGCGTTCGAACACATCAGTTCTTTGATGTTGTCCAGTCGGTAGTCCATTCTGGGAGTTGGAGATCATCGGGTCCGTCTGGCCAGTTGGAGCCCCATTCCAGTGATTTTGAAGATCTCCCTGGGCTGGAGCATGATTCGGAACGTCCTGACGGTAATGATGGGCGTAGGCGGCGTTGTGATGAACTGCAGCATGGGTCGCATTGTTCGGAGCCATGTTCCAAGGAGATGAGCTTCCTGGACCTTGAGCTACGGCTGGAACGTGATCGGAGAATCGCTGTCGCTTCTGAGGAGGCTCTTCCCAAAAGGCGGAGTTGTCGGCAGAAGCACGAGCCGCCGTCTGAAGTCTTTGCATAGCCTCATATGCACGGCGGGGATCGTTGGCAACATTTTGTCCATGCTGATGAGCAGGGATGGCTTCAGCGGCCATTTGGCGATTCGCAGACGTTTCGGCCAGGGCATTTGAAGTTTGATGGTGAAGTTGGGCCCGAGCAAGAGCTGAGGTCGGAGTTCGGTTCTGATGAAGAACATCGGCTGAGTTTCTGACTTTCTGAGCCACATTTTGTCCTCGCTGATGGATGTTGAAGTGATCGTTAGATGACGTCCCGGTCAGCTGGGCTTGGGGAGCAGGAGCTCCGGCAACGTTTTGTCCTTGTTGGTAGAAGTTGAAATTTTCGTTTGAAGACGTCCCGGCCAGTTCGGCTTGTGGAGCAGGAGCTCCGGCAACGTTTTGTCCTTGTTGGTAGAAGTTGAAATTCTCGTTTGAAGACGTCCCGGCCAGTTCGGCTTGTGGAGCAGGAGCGCCGGCCATATTCTGTCCTCGTTGATGGAAGTTGAAATTCTCATTTGAAGTCGTCCCGGCTTGTGGAGCGAGCGCAGCTCTGTGAGCATGACCCCAAGTCGTAGCGGGTTCAGCTCCAGCCAGTTCGTTTCTCTGGCGTTTCGACATGTGGTCGTGTTGGCGCACGGCGACGTCCTGAAGCGAGTTCTGAAGAGGATGAGGGAGTGTCACTGCGGCAGATTGAGCTGGTGCAGCTCCTCTTCTGGTCCGAGATCCGCCTGGTCCTTCCCAATGACTTAGACCGAGTTCTCCGACACGGCTGGACAGTTGTTCCGAAGCCTTTCTGACCGAATCGGAGGACGATTCCGGACGTTCTTCGACGGCGTGAGCGGCAGGATTCTTCGGAGCGACTCTGGCAGCTGAAGAGGGCTCAACCAGTCGGACCTCATGCTCAGTGTCCAGATAATTCTGGAAGGAGAACTCGTCAACCAAAGGCGCACGTTGGGGGTTGGCTCGAGGTTCGACAACCGGCTTCGCGAGTTCGGGACTCGAGGCTTTCGACCATCCCATTCCTGTAAAACGTCGTTTAGCGAAAAAATCCTTCAAACATAGGCAAGTGAGCTTTTTACAAAGGGCCTTTCATTTTAAAAAAACGTTTCACAATTGGTTTTATAACAAGGTTCGGTGCAAATTTAGGCCATAAATTTTCAATGATTGGCTCGGAAAATCTGATAAACTCCATAAAACGAAATCTTTTACTTTTCATAACTTTTGAGTTTCCTTTTAAGGCGTTTTTTGTCAAGGGGAACCATTTCAGTGTGAAGCTAGACTTTCAGAGATTTTCATGAGATTTTAAGTTTCACACTAAAGTTATGTGCTATGAGAACGATTGTCTTGTATTTAAAGAAATGCTGACGATGGGTCACCCTCTAAGCCGTCCATTTTTGGGACCCGAAACGGCTGCGCGATATAAAATATTCTCATCTTTAAACCCTTTTCCTCTAAGAAATTTCAGAAATCGTGAAAACCTTGTCATAATAATGTCCTCTTCATATTTACTCTCTCACCCTTCATATTGATTAAAAACACTGAATTTAAAGATTCAGTTTTCTCGAAAAAATTTTATTCGTTGTACTGGCCTTCCAAGAATCCATCATAACTGAATCCCGGCTTCAATTTTTAATCAAAAACCCACCTTTCTCCAGTTTCTCGAAAGCTTGTTCGTAGGTCCTCTCGCAGTCATATCGTCGCACCCTTTTTTTGAGTACGGTTCTGAAAATATTTTCTTATTAAAAACCCGAAAAATTTCTCGAGAAATGGCCATAAAAAAATTGGAATGCAGAGTTAAATGAATTGTTAATAAAAAATTTTTATTTTATATATATTATTAGTTCAACTGAAGTTTTTTGAAACCGAACACATTAAAAAGTTGTTGAAAACTATCAAAAAAAAGGAGAGGAGTTTTCCCGCCAGAAAGCCGCGACGCGTACGCAACGCGTGACCTTTGCTAATCTACCCTTCCTGCCTTTCAAGTAGGGAAGGATTGACTATAACTCTTTTTTGAACTCAATTGTGGAAGATTTTCGACTCACATGGGATGTCTGATAACTGCCTCAGTTCTCGAGCGAGGGAAGGGTCCGGCCGTTCTTCTACGTTTCCCGTTGTTCACACGGATAGTCATAAGTGGCAGGGTTTCTGAATTTTTTTTTCTAAATTTGCAAAAAAGCCATGAATGTGAAGGATACCTCTCAAGTATTCTTTGACGTTTTCGCTGATGTGCACAAATGCGGGAATTTTTTGATTGCCCCGGATTAGCTGAAATTATTTTTACTTGAAGGTTTCCGAAGAGCTTTGGATCATTAAAATTCTATTTTATTGACAGTTTTTTCTGAATGGTAGTACTAGCGGAATTTTTTTCACGCTGATTCCGATTCTGACGTCAAAAAAGCTGCTAAAGTCCGTTAATAAACAGATCTAAGAACTGAGAAAAAACCTTGTCATTTGAAAAAGTGCTTGGAAAAAATTCTGGAAGAGATTTGAAAAATGAAGTTTTGAGTTTTGAAAATTGCGATTTTAGTCGACACTGGGCTTTTAAGAATTTTTGAATAAAAAAAACTTTTTTTTATATTTTCTTCTAAAATTTGGGACATTAAATTGATTAAGTTCTTGTTTTTGATCACCTTTTTTGCTGGCAAAAAACCAAAAATTTTTTTTGGCTGGGATTTTTCAATTGATTGCCCTATGAGTGTCACATTCTCAGTGAGAAAAAAAGACATTAACCCCTTTTTATTTGTAAAAGGAAGGTCTTTAGGCCTCAATAAAAGAGCTATACTCTTTCGTTCTTTCCGTTGACTTTTCATTTCAATAATCCTTAAGTGAAACGTAAATAACCCCTGAAGGGGCGAATCATGGTTTCCAAAAAACCTCTAGAAATACTGTATAATAAGTAATCAGTTCAGGGATTTTTTTCAGATTTTCCTGAGATTGATAAAAGTACCTGATCGTAAAAGTTGACCAAAATCAGTTCGATTTGTTCTTGAAACGTGCCGTCTCGGGAGGCGTCACGCGTATCGTAGAAGGCCAAAGTGAGCGAGGCTCTCCGATAGTCGTATTCTTTGTCTTTCTTTATCTTCTCCTGGAGCTCTTCGTCGTAGGGCATCAAGTTTTTGAGAAACTCCTCCTGAATCGAATTATTTTGATAATAAGAAGGAAGTGTGTGAGGTGAAAATTGCGGATATGGTCCAAACTTCTGTGGAAGGAAGTCTGAGGTGTGATTACTCGGAAACAAAAAGATCCACCGGCTAAGTGCCATTGGGCATTGAGAAATAGCCCATCGAAAATGTACAAAAAAACTCGAAAACTGATTCTCATTGGGTTTTTTGCGCAAAAACTTGTGTATATGCTGAACTACAGAAGTCCGTAAATCCAAAAGAAATCGGTTTTTTGAGCTCTTCACATTTTTATTTATTTGTTCAGACTTCAGAGAAGATTCTCTGTTGAATCATGGGATAATTGAAGAGTTTTTCGTCGGTTTATGGAACTGTCGTCGATCAAGAACATGATAAAAAGCTGTCGTTGATCAAGAACATGTTCAAAAGTTTAGGCGCGAAGAGCATTTCGCCCTTCTTGAGGAAATAGTAACCATGTTTTGAGGATTTCTGTGATCAGCTGCTCCTTCATGTTGAAACAGTACAGCGCTCCGATTGTCCAGGGTTGACGGGCGTCGGAAAAAAAAAATCTCAGCCGAGAGCGGAAATTTTGAGATTTTTCCGTACATTTTCTACAAGCTTTTTCACAGACACTGCCAAAGTGCGGAAACAGGTGCAAAATGGCCGCTGAAAGGGTTCCATTTTGCGGCCTTTATTGAGCCTTTTTTACTTGGTGGGCAAAAGATTTGCGTTTCTCGAAAGGGTTCAAAAAGGGTGGATGAAGGCTGATGAAAGGACGGAAAAGGGCAGTAAAAAGGAAACCATTGCCACCCGTTTAGGAACAATTAATGGACCTTTTGCACCCAAAATGGACGCTCAAAGGGCCCGTAAAGGGTCCTTCCGACTTTTCCTATGGTACCTCATGGCGCTTAGCAGATAGTTCTTTTGATTTTCGAGACCTAGGACTACCTACCACATAAGTTTGGACCGGGTCCAAAAAAAACCAAAATTTTTTGTTTTATCGAATGAAAAAAGGAACTGACATTGACTTCGTAGTCGCGTTTTTTTCCTGCTCTTTGGGCTCCATTTTCATCGACCGGGAGTTGATAACCTGAAAATTGATTCAGAATAAATAAATATCTACTTCCTATTTTTATTATAGTAAGGAAACAGTTGCTTTTCTCTACAAAATTCCCTAGTTAGATCATAAAAATAATCTCGAATGATTGTACAAAAAAGCGCCTCCGTAACCAGGGCGCTTTCCAGACAAAAATCCGCTTAATGAAAAAAAAAGTAATGAGTTTTGCAATGTTAACAAAACACGCCAACTCGCGTGAAACTACCCTGTTATTTTTTTGCCGGCGATAAACCAAAAATTTTCATTTCATCGAATGAAAAAAAGAACGGACTTTGATTTCGTCGTTGCGTTTCTCCTGCTCCATGGGCTCCATTTTCATCGACCGGAAGTAGATAACCTGAAAATTGATTCAGAATAATCGATAGGTAAGGAATATACGAGAAATATCTGTTTCCTATTTTTATCATAGTACGGTTGCTTTTCTCTAAAAAATCTCACAAAATTCCCTTGTTAGATTACGAAAATCATCTCGAATCATTGTACAAAAAAGTGCCTCCGTAATGGGGGGCGCTTTCCACACAAAAATCCGTTTAATGAAAAAAAAAATAATGCGTTTTGAAATTCTAACGAAACACGCAAACTCGCGTGAAACTACCCTGTTATTTTTTTTCGGCAATAAACCAAAATTTTCCATTTTATCGAATGAAAAAATGAACTGACTTCGATTTCGTCGTCGCTTTTCTCCTGCTCTTTGGGCTCCATTTTCATCGACCGGAAGTTGATAACCTGAAAATTGATTCAGAATAATCGATAGGTAAGAAATTTATTTTTTTACTTAAAAAGTTAGGCGAAAAAAATACTGATTTTTTAGAAGTTTACACGAAACACGAAAAGATTTTTGTTTATCGAAAACTTCTTAATTTTTGGAAATAAATTTCAGACAAGAACATTTGCTCGCAACTACGAAGGACGACCTGTGAAAAAAAAAAACGAATCTCAGGCGAAAAAAACTGTAGATTTCAAATATCTGCTTCAAATTCTACAAAGCCTTTTCATTTTTTACAGAGTGTACGCCAAAAAACCAAATAGGCGTATCTTTATGGCCAGTGATGTATATTTTATTCTGACAAAAAAGAACCCACGTTTGGCGCTTCAAGCGCGCACCACAGCATGGTTAGGACGGCTCTGGTTCTGAGCGAAAAGCACTGGGCGATTTCCTTAGCGACCAGCTTCTTCAAGCCTTCTCCTTTATTTTTCTTCAGCACTTCCTGTAAGCCGAATTATTGGAAAAGGTCTGTATATTTTTCATCGATTTTATTCGGACGCTTTGAAAAAACGACCAGCTCTTTTATTTTGACCAGTCTTACACGGGGATAACACACGGTCTCAACGGGTGTGCCCGTTTTAAACCCGTACAAGCACCGCTGTCCCTTTTGGCCTTTTTTACCAGGGACCGTTTTTGCTCAGTCGGGACTCAGAAATTCGAAATGAACCAAGCTGGGTTGCCTACTTATTCTTATGCCCGTTTTTGTCCCATTTTTGCACAACTGCCGCAAAAAAAACGGATGCGCCCGTTGAGACACTTTGCCAGCACGAGAGGTAAAATTTAGACAATTTTTAAAATTTTGGCAGCTTTTTTTAGAGATTTTTTTCTGTAGAAAAATTTGGGACTCATATTTTTGAAGCTCGGTACAACTTTATTTTTTTGAGTCTGAGATCCCGAAGTCACACAAATCCTACAAAATTATCAATAAAGAAAAATCAATAGCCGGTCCAAGCATATTTCCAAGCATTATTTCAAGAAAAAAATGACCTTTTTTTATTGGTTTTTTGATCCTCTATTTGTGAGCCTTTTCTTTTTCCAAAATCTTATTACCCCTCAAAGAAGAGCTTTTCGATAAAAAGTCATGAAAAGACGTTGAGAAGACCTTTTGTTTCCCTTTCCCTAGGTCTTTTTGGACTTTGCCCCCGTACGCATGGTGAGTTTCGAAAAACTTGGAGTTTAGGAGCGTCCATGAACAGACCAAAAAAAGGAGACTTCAATTCAAAAGCCTCCGTCGCGGCCGAGTAACCATTGTCTTTCGAGTTGCGAAAAATCGAGTACAAAAGGAAAATGGCCAAGGCACGGCCGGCTTGGGAAACGTCGCCGTCTCCACCAATCAGCCGTTATTTTTCCTTCTTACTACTCGGACTCGGGTACGGGTTTCGAGTTGAAACTTTAGTGGTTTATAAACCCAAGCCAGAATAACTGAAAACAAGAGAGAATATCTGCTAAACCCGATAGAGAACTGAAAAAATTAGTAGAAAAATGTGAAAATTAGGCCTGAAAAATTTTTCAGAATACTGCTTTTTCCTTATTTTATATTTTGATACAATCGCCTTGGATGATCCGGCTATGATAAACTCTAAAAAACTTTTTTCCAGCCAAAAGAAGAAGGAAAACTGAAATTTAATAATTTTTCAAGCCTAAACTGTTCATTTTTCAAAAAGCTTTTTCTCAGAAGTCTATGGGGTTTAGCAGATAATCTCTTTTTTTTCCAAGTGCTCTTACCCGGGTCTATAAGCCACCAAAGTTTCAACTCGAAACGCGTACCCGAGTTCGAGTAGTTCCCTTGTTAAATTGACTCGAGCCGTTTGTCTAGAACTCACGCAAATCTGAGGAGTGACTTGGAGATCGTTGGCTATGACCGCCTGCACGACCTGCTCCAGCTCCTCGTTTGGACCTGAAATTTATTTTTTTTGCGGACCGAAATTTAAAAATCTCTGCTTTATTTCGTACTGGGAAAATTTTTAGTGGCCAATTGCCAAGGACTACCCAGGACACTAAAGTGGCCACTAAAACCACCTCTATAGTGGCCACTATTTTCCGTTTAAGTGGCCACTGTGGAGGTTCTCTATTTAGGGACCACTAATTTTTGACCCCTCAAGTGGCCGCTAATTTGACTACTATAGTTAGGGACCGCAGACCAATTTTCAAAAAATTTTTTTCAGCATTGAGCTTTGTATGGTTTGATAGCTGTTTCGATTCAAAACTCAGAACCGTTTAGTTTTTCGAAAAAGATTGAGGATGAAAAAAGTTATGACGAAAAATGTGGCGCGCCGCGCACCATTTTTTTAGTACTGAAATTTTGGTATTATCCATTTTGACATTTTTCTCGATTTTTCTTCTAGAACAAGTTTTGATACTGGTCTATTATGATGTAACAAATCATAATAGAGTGCTAAAATGATGCTCATCAGCTAGTTTGCCGAAAAAGTCGGTATTTTCCAGAAAACAAAAAACTGACGCTTGCGGGTATCGAACTCGCGACCTCAAAATGAAAAATCGCAGCGCACGCGCTGCGCCAAGTTGTTAGGTCTGGCGAGGGGAACTTCCATCCGCCATAGCCTTGAGCCGTTTGAATAGCACAGATTGCCTATTTCAAAAATAAAAACTTGAAGTAATTCAGCTATTTTTATCAGAATATGTTCGCAAATCTTTACTCAAACTTTCCGTGAAAATTCACTTCGAAAAACTGTTTTTTAGTGCTTTTTTCCTCGTTTAACGATCGCTGCCTTAAAACGGCCCCGTAAATTTTTTGGCAAAGACGAATTTTTTATTTTATTCTTTTAATTGAAAGATTTTTCACTAATAAATGTATATAATCGTTTAAAAACCTGCGTTCGACCGCTTTCTGTGTGATAAACGCCGCTAATTTTTATTCTCTAGTTTCAAGAGCATTTTTGCGTATTAAACAACTATTTCAAGCACAGATACTGTGAAGAAAAAAATTTAAAGTAAGGCCATGATCTAAATTTTTTAAAAACAAAAAAACTTGATTATATTCGCTTATTAACGATATTTTTGAATTATGACTTTCGGCGCTCCCTAAAAATTTTTTGGCAAAGACGAATTTTTATTTTATTGTTTTAAAATTTTTCGTTACTTGAATCAAAAATCATTATTTAAAAAGAAAGAGTGCGTTCGACCTGAAAACACATGAAAAAGCAAAAAATGACAAAATTTTTTAGTTGCATTCACGTTTTTGTACGACATTCCGCGAGAACGCATCAAAAAAGCGTGAAATATTTTTTAAACGAAAGAGGAAGCTTTTCTGTACATGTGTGTCAAATTTTATTCGCCAGTTCCACATATTTTTGCAACTACAACAAAATGAAAGTTGAAAACCAAAAGCCACTTTTTTCTATCGCGAAAAGGGGCGTGGCTTTGCGGTCCCCTAACTATAGTGGCCACTAAAAAAATTTTTTTGACTTTACTATCTCACCGGCGAGAGAAAAGAGACGCAGAGAGATCATACTTTTGAAAATAATATATTGGGATAAACTAGAAGACAAACTTAGAAAGCTGAGAATCATTAATTTCGGCTCGAAAGCTCGAAAAGACTGGTTTCTCTCCGTTTTTAAGTATTGTTTTGATCACTTCGTCATCTCACCAGCGAGAGAAAAGAGACGCAGAGATTCCAGATTTATCCAAAGCATGCCAGTCAGGATAAACAAGAGAAAAAATTCGATTGTGATGATTATTTTTGGCTTCAAGGGTATTTCTGCGTTTTCACGTACCATTTTCATTACTCTATCATCTCACCAGCGAGAGAAAAGAGACGCAGACAGGTCAGAACGAATAAAATCGTATCTTTTAAGTAATAGTAAAACTCACCCGAATCGTCCATTGTTCTTTTTCGAAACTGGAAACGAGTCGAAACCAGAAGTTTTCGAAGTCAGCAAAAGCGTTTTGGTAGCCAAAAGCTGTAGAAGTATTGAATTATTCTAGTACAAAAAATATAGTAGTAGGAATACGGTAGGACGAATATTCGAGAAAAAAATTCGAAGCAAAATCTTGTAGCCGTCAACTTGCGATCAGCTCAAGCTTGGTCCGAACTTGGTCGAAATCGATGACTACAAGGTATTGCTCATATTACAGAAGGAGTTGAAGGATACTGTAGAGTTACAGTACCATGGGGACATAATATAATAGAAATCTACCAATTGAATAATATAATAAAAAGTTTGGAGGATCTCTAAAGAAATTTCAATCAGTGAATATTTTAATGACCGAAAAACCGACTTTCCAAACACAAAAATTACCGTAACTCAATAATTCCTAACCCAAGATGGCATGTACTGTAAAAGTCCCAAAAATTGGATTACCTATCGATTGATATATCACTTGCCCAGTAAAAACTCTTCAATACTTAGATACGCAGGCGCCCACCTGCCTACCGTAACCCGGCTACAGTAAGAGGAAATGGCTCAAAAAGTTGCGACCGCAATTCTGATGATAGGTTATCACACTGGATGAAGTTTCATCAAAATCAAAAAATAAAATTTTGTTTTTGGAAGTTACAGAGACAGCGTGTTAAATCGGGTCATTTCGAAACAATATTTTCATTTATTCACAATTTTGAGACAAGTTTTTGATAAATTAGTATTTTCTAAAGAGAATCAAGTGAGTAGCAGGGAATTGGTTTGATTTGAGATGAAGGTGGGAGCCAATCGGAGCTCGGAGGCGGGGCTTCCGGGAGTCATGCGACCTCAGAAATGACTCATTTGTCGCATTGGAATGTCACGAAAATGCAGCCGAGACAAAATAATGTGTTTTGGTCATCTTATAAAAATAGATTTGTGAATATTACTCAGAAGTACGCGGACTTTTCCAAGGAAAAATAAATGATGATTTTTGAAATATGTGGACCTCAAATCAAACTTCCAGAAAAGTCTCCAAGATCTAAAAATGAAACTAGAAAAAGCTTTACTAAGCTTGTCAGTTTCAGAAAACTATAAAATTCGAAAAATCACGAAAATCAATTTTTTTTTTTTGTTTTTCAGATTTTTCTCAATTGATTTACGAGAGACCTTTTTTTATGCGTCTGAAATTCAATTTTTGAATTTGATTGGATTGATTTTTGGATACTTTATAGTTCATTGAGTCTTGAGGAATATTTTAATAAAGATCTCAAAAAAAGTTGGAGAAATAGCGCTCAAAAAGAAGAGAATAAGACTTTTTTGTAGGGATTTTCTTGACGCAAGCTAGCGGTGAATGAAGTATGTTCCGATTCATTGCAGTAAACCACAGTTTTGATTTAATTTTGACCAGCGAAATATTCTTGGAGACGCTGAAAAACGGCTCGCGAGCGGAAGGAGCGGAAGGAATGAAAAAGTCGCGGGGAGAATAATGCTTCACGGAGAAATAGTGCTGCGAAATGAGAGTCTTAGACGGTTTTGTAGGGGCTTTTGTTCGAGGTGAGCGGGGAAGGATGTACGCGTGGGCCTATTTCAGTAAGCCACAGTTTCGATTGAATATTGAATGGGAAGCACTTTTCATGAGTTTTAGACGGTTTGATAGGGATTTTAAAGGCCCGAACCAAGCTAGGGGTGATTAGAGTTTGTTGAGGTTCTTTCAGTAAAGATTTAATATTAAATGAGACAGATTTCGAATAGTAAGAAACTGTAGAAGACAGTTGAAAACGGCTCGCAAGCGGAAGGAATGGGAAGGTATGATGAAGTTGCGTGGAGAATATTCACTCCCAGAGAAATAGTGCTCGAGAAGAAGAGACTCAGACGCTTTTCCAGGAATTTTTGGACCCGAGCTAGCAGTGAATAGAGTATACATGGGTCAATTTTTATAACACACAGTTTCGATTTAATATTGAAGGAAAGTGATAACTCTTCATGAGTTTTAGACGGTTTTGTAGGGATTTTTAAGACCCGATTCAAGCTAGGGGTGAATGGAGTATGTACAGGTCCAGTTCAGTAAAAGATTGAATACTGAATTAGATGGGGGGCTGAATAGCGAACTATTTCAGGAGACAGTAAAAAACGGCTTGCAAGCCGAAGGAACGGGAAGGTATGAAGAAGTTGCAGGGAGAATATTCCTTCACGGAGAATTAGTGTTCGAAAAGAAGAGACTCAGACGGTTTTGTAGGAATTTTTCTTTACCTAAGCTGGGGGTGAATAGAGTATACATGGGTCAATTTTTGTAACACACAGTTTCGATTTAATATTGAAGGGCAAGCACTTTTCATGAGTTTTAGACGGTTTTGTAGGGATTTTCAAGATCCGATCCAAGCTAGGGGTGAGTGGAGTTGGTTCAGGTTCATTCAAAGATTTAATATTGAATTAGATAGAGGTTGAATAGCGAATTATCCTAGCAAACACAAAAAAACGACTTGCAAGTGGAAGGAACGGGAAGGAATGAAAAATTTGCGAGGACAATATAGCCTCCCAGAGAAATAGCGCCTGAAAAGAAGAGACCTAGACGTGTTTCCAGGAGTTTTTTGACCAAAGCCAGGGGTGAATAGACTGTTCATGGGTTTATTCTAGTGAACCACAGTTGAGATTGAATATTGAACGAGAAACATTAACTCTTCAAAGTTGTTTTAAAACGTTTTATAGGGATTTTCAAGACTAGACCCAAGCTAGTTGTGAATGGAGTATGTTCAGGTCCATTTCAGTGATATACGATTTCTATTGAATTATGTAAAATAAAAGCAAAAAGCGAATTGCAAGTGGAAGGAACGGGAAGAAAGTTGCGGCGAGAATATTCCCTGTCAGAGAAAGTGCTCGAAAAGAAGATACTTGGACCGTTTCCAGGGTTTTTTTTTTGACCTAAGCTAGGGGTGAATAGAGTATAAATGGGTCCATTTCAACTGACCACAGTTTTGATTGGATTATGAATTAGATATAGTTTAGAGAATTGTTAGTAGATAGTGAAAAAGGACTCCGAAGCCCTCCTTTCTGTCTTTTTTTTTTGACTTAAGTTAGGAGTGATTGGAGTAAGTTCAGGTCCATTTCAGTAAACTACCGTTTTGATTGAATTATAGATTAGATAGAGTTCAAAAAGCGAATTATTGTAGAAGACAGTAAAAAAAAAGGGTGGCAAGCCGAAGGAACGGGAAGGTATGAAGAAGTCGCGGCGAGATGATCGTATAAACAAATGGCAGGAGGTGTTACTCTGATCAACAACATGCCGGATCGTGCCTATTCATCGCATTATCGAGGAGTCGCATCGATTAGTCACGGCTCCTCGGGGTGCCGTTTCTCGCCAAAAGATGGAAGTTATGGGATTTTTGTGAGAAGCAACTGACACGACACGGTTAATGGGATGATGCACTCTTGACGACTTTTTTTTTTCGCCACAACTTGGAACAAACGGACACTTTACATGGGCAGTGTTTAGGTTGGAGTTTCGTGGAATGGCCTGGTTCTTGCAAGAAAGTACTGGGAAAGGCTCACCAAAAAGTGCTGAATGGCCCAAAATCGCGTATTGATTTTTGAAAAGTTTTCGATGCAATGGGCACAAAATTATGGATTGAAACACCTTTTTTTTCGTTATAATTTGAGGATGGAGCAAAAATCAATAAGTTTTCTATAATCAAGTAGTCCTCGAATAACTCCCAGACAAGTTTCATTCAAAATTCAAAAAACGCTTCAGCTTCATCAGTAAAGGCTGAAAATAACGGAGAAAATTAATGAAAGACACTTTTTGGGGTGAATTTTTGGTATTTTGGGGATATGGTGATTTAAAGGAGCATGGAGAGACGGTCTCGAGGCGAAAAGTCGATAATCAAAATTTCAAACGTGTGCTAGAATTTTAGACAAAAAAAAGCTTCCCTCTAGCTCCACCTGTGTGAACAGAAACGTTGGAAAAAGTTGGTGGCAATCAATTTTGAGGTAAAAGTTAGGTGTTTCGGGGAAAATGGTGATTTAAAGGAGCATGGAATGAAGGTCTCGAAGCAAAGAGTCGATGATCTAAATTTCATCCGTGGGCTGAAAATCTAAGCCCTTAAAATCTTCCCTCTAGCTCCACCAGTGCGAACAGAAACACTAGAGAAAGTTGATGGAAATCAATTTTTGAGGTAAAGATTAGGTATTTTGGGGGATTTGGTGATTTAAAGGAGCATGGAATGAAGGTCTCGAGGCGAAGAGTCGATAAGCCGAATTTCACCGCTGGGCTGAAATTTTTAGCCTGAAAAAGCTTATTTTCAGCGTCACCAGTATAAACAATAAAATTGAAGAAAGCTGGTGGAAATCAATTTTTGAGGTGAAATATTGTTATTTGTGATTAAAAGATGATTAAAGGAACATGCAAAGAAGGTCTCGAGGAGAAAAGCCAGTAATCAAAGTTTTAAAGGTGAAAATTCGCTATTTTGAGAAACGTGATGATTTGAAGGAGCATGAAACGAAGGTCTTGAGGCGAAGAGCCAATTTCAGTTAGAATATGCTTTAATTAGGTCTTTGAAAAATCAGCGAAGATTTTTGAGAAAACAATGATCAAAACCATTCGTTTTTTAAAGCAAATCCTATAAAACCCAGTAAATTTGCATGGTAGAAGTTCCGAAAAAAATTAACAAAATACGAGATTTGAAAAAAATATTTTTGCAATGGCCTTGAATGTGTGTAAAAATACTGACTGGAATAAAATGTCAGCTTTGATAGAAAAAAAAGATAAAAATTAAAAAAAGCCCAATTTCATTTTTTTCGATTCCTTTACACTAATATAATCCAGCAAAACGGATAAGATAAACTAAATATTTCCGCATTTATAGTCTTGTTGGAAACTCAACAGCATGCAACAGCTAGCGAAGGCACAAAAGGCCCCAATTTTGTTCTCAGGCTACTTGATTCAATTAAAAAACCTTTCAATAGTTTTAAAACTGTATGCCTACTGATTGCATTATCGTTTTTTTCCCACACTTTATTGAATTTTTTGCAAGCTTGAGGAATTTGGAAGGTTTTTGGTCTGCTTTGGAATTTCGTAATGGACGTTTAGTTTGAGTAAAATTGAGGAAGGTTGAATTTTGACGGGAGGAGAAGACTGGAATGATCAAGATTGAATAGAAAAAAAAGTGTTTTGATCAGAAATATTGGAATTACCATCTTGAAAGCCTAGGAAGGTTTTTGGTCTGCTTTGGATTTTGTATTAAATTTTTAGTTTGAGAAAAAAATTGAGAATGGTTGAATTTTGACGAAGGGATGACTAAGATTGAATAGATGTGTTTTGATCAAAAAAACATTGGAATTTGCATCCAGGCGCGATCCAAATGACTCATGACGATTATGTCTTTTTAGGAATTTTTCGAGAAAGTCAATTTTTCTGAAAAATTAAATATTATAATCCTTGATGTAGCGATTGAAGATTTCGAGAGTCCCAACCTGCAAAAACTTCGATTTTAAAAAAACAAAAGCCCAATCTATTACCCATTTTGGTTCAACAACTCAATAAATATTTAAAAAAAAAGACAAGTTAAGAAAAATAAAAAAATTTAATTTTGGAAGCTAAAACTTTGAAAATGTGGGTGTGGTTCCAGAAAGAGTGTTTCGGCCAAATTTCAGAAAGTTCTGAATAAAGATAAAAATTTCCGTTCTTATCCCTCGTTTTTCTCGAAGATTGTTCATTTTGAACCGTATCAGCATTTATCAGCAAGTCCCACAGTTATCAAGTTCTAGAGATGTTGAGAGCTGAATGTCTTCTTTCCCCTCTTTTATATCCTTTTTGACCCGCTCGAGGTCTGGGCCGAGTCCGACAGCAGTGAAACGCCGGAACGACCCTTAGACGATCGGAGCAAGCTCCGGACCCGTCTTCAGCTCCAAAAATGGAATAACCTATACAGAGCTCGATGAGCTCATATCGTAGGTTAATACGATAAGAACGGTAACTACAAACTGATCTTAGCCAATAGGCCGAGAAGCGATACTGGAAGGAGGTTGGGAGGGGTACTTGAGTCTCAGCGTGTCACGACTCGATACGGTTTGGCGCCGAGGTAGGTGAATGGCTCAAAACTCTTTTTTGCTTGTTTTTCTTGTTTACAAAGGCTTAAAAAAGAGACATTTTCGTAATACTAAAACAATCCCTTTTATTTTAGATCATCAACGATTATATCAAAAAAATTTTTTTCGATGTATCGATTCTTATTTTCGTGGTTCTAATAGTTAAATATTTATTATTCAGAAAGCTTAAAGGTCCAAATAAAATATTAGACATAGTTTATTCACGGCTGGCTTGGAAAAGTTTAATGAATTTCTATATGAAGCAGCAAAACAGTATGCGAAAAGAAGAGGTTTAGACGCTTTTGCAGTTTTTGAGCTAATTTTTGTAAAAGTAAAGTGTAGACATGAGGTCTGCAAAGACTCGGAGCTGTTATTGCGAGATCTTATCGCAGTCTGAATCGTCTTCGGCTGCCCGCTAAAAGCTCCCCGATTCCTTCAGAGTCTGCACGCTCATCGCAAAAAACAGTTCCTCCTTGATCTATTTTTGGAACAAATATGAATCGGCATGTAGACAGCTCCCAGACTAATGGCTTCCCCGGTGATCAGTTTAATGTTTTGTAGCGCAAAAGAACGGCAAGGGCTTTGAACAGGAATGTGCTGCAATCAATGATTTTTGACTCTTTGAGAGGGGGGAGAGGGGGGACAGGAAATCAGAACTAGTTCTACATACTCATAGAAGCTAGAAAACTGTCACTTTTTCCCTTTTCAAAAAATCCTAATCTTTAAGTTCAAATCTCGCATTTGTTTTTCGCAGTTTTTCAAAGCATCTCTGAGCGGTTGCGCGATATATCTGTGTTAGAAAACAAGACCGTTTCGGGCGGAATACAACATCCAAAACAGTTGTTTCATATCATTTTGTCAAGCAATAAGTCGTTTCTTAATAAACTTTTCATAAGAATTATTTTGCAAAATCTCATATACATGACGAGGCTTCAAAACGCAAAGGTAGGGACCGCAAAGCCACGCCCCTTTTCGCGATAGAAAAAGTGGCTTTTTTTTGGTTTTCAACTTTCATTTTGTTGTAGTTGTAAAATATGTGGAACTGGCGAATAAAATTTGACACACATGTACAGAAAAAGCTTCCTCTTTCGTTTTAAAAAAATATTTCACGCTTTTTTTGATGCGTTCTCGCGGAATGTCGTACAAAAAAAACGTGAATGGAACTAAAAAAATTTTGTCATTTTTTTGCTTTTTTTCATGTGTTTTTCAGGTCGAACGCACTCTTTCTTTTTATATAATGATTTTTGATTCAAGTAACGGTAATTTTAAAACAATAAAATAAAAAAATTCGTCTTTGCCAAAAAAATTTTTAGGGAGTGCCGAAAGTCATAATTCAAAAATATCGTTAATAAGCGAATATAATCGAGTTTTTTTGTTTTTTTCAAAAGTTAGACCATAGGCTTACTTAAATTTTTTTCTCCACAGAATATGTGCTTGAAAAAAAGTTGTTTAATACGCAAAAAAATGCTCTTGAAACTAGAGGATAAAAATTAGCGGCGTTTATCACACAGAAAGCGGTCGAACGCAGGTTTTTTTCAAACGATTATATACATTTATTAGTAAAAAAATCTTTCAATTAAAAAGAATAAAATAAAAAAATTCGTCTTTGCCAAAAAAATTTACGGGGCCGTTTTTAATGCAGTGATCGTTAAACGAGGCAAAAAAAGCACTGAAAAAAACAGTTTTTTTCGAAGTGAATTTCCACGGAAAATTTGAGTAAAGATTTGCGAACATATTCTGATAAAAATAGCTGAATTACTTCAAATTTTTTTATTTTTTTGAAATAGGCAATCTGTGCTATTCAAACGGCTCAAGGCTATGGCGGATGGAAGTTCCCCTCGCCAGACCTAACAACTTGGCGCAGCGCGTGCGCTGCGATTTTTTTCATTTTGAGGTCGCGAGTTCGATACCCGCAAGCGTCAGTTTTTTTGTTTTTCTGGAAAATACCGACTTTTTTTCGGCAAACTAGCTAATTTTTCATCATTATAGAGCTCTATTATGATTTCTTACATCATAATAGACCAGTATCAAAACTTGTTCTAAAAAGAAAAAAATCGAGAAAAAAATGTCTAAAATGGATAACACCAAAAATTTCAGTACTAAAAATGGTGCGCGGCGCGCCACATTTTTTTCGTCATAACTTTTTTTCATCCTCATTCTTTTCCGAAAAACTAAACGGTTCTGAGTTTCGAATCGAAACAGCTATCAAACCATGCAAAGCTCAATGCTGAAAAAAAATTTTCGAAAATTGGTCTGCGGTCCCTACGCAAAGGCCTTCCGAAGAAAAAGTCACTACACTCTTACTATCGGGTTGATAAGGGGCCGATTAGGTTTTTTGGAAAGCCGAAGACTTGTTTTACCGGGACAAAAAGTTTCTGACCCACAATCGAAGTTTCTTCGAAGATATGATTTTTCGAATCTCAAGAGAAAAATCTTCATTTTCACGATTTTCGGTTTTTTGCTCACAAATCTGGTCTGACTCGAGGAAATAAGTTTCGTTTTCGGAAATGAGTTACTGCAAAGCTGTTTGAAATTTGTGCGAAGTTTCAAGTCATTTGAGCCACTTTCAGAGAAGTTAGGCTCGAATAACCACTTTGAAATACCTTTATGGCCAGTACTGTATACCAATCTTATTAAAAGACAAAGGTGCGATTCTAGCGGCTACATCTCCAAGTAGTCCTTCCAGAACCTCTTCCCCCCCCCCCTTGGTGCGCAGAGCCAGAAAGAGTTGGTAATGGATAGGTGAGGAGAGGATGCCATAGGACGGAGCTTGACCTTTGTATTCTCAAGCGATAGATGTTACAATAACCAGATGGTTACACGGCATCCACTTGGCCATTTCGAAGCTTTTCGATAAGATTTTTCAAAAAGAACTTGTTCTGCTCTTCATTTTTTTTGGTACACATAGAAAAAATGCAGCTGACGCTTTTTTTTCGATCTTCATAGTTTCTTCCATTTCATTTCACATTGGCAAAATATAGAAATCAATTTTTCGAAAGATTTGTAGTTACGGTATCCATAAAATTTTTCACTATTTTTGATTTACTGGGAAAATTTTTTTAGTGGCCCCTATAGAGGCTCGCCAAGGACTACTTGGAGAGGACACTAAAGTGGCCACTAATCCCACCTTTATAGTGGCCACTTTTTTTCCTTTTTTAGTGGCCACTTCAGTAGTTTTCCATCCATTATTCCTTCCAGTAACACTGATAATTTTAAAACAAAAATATTGAACCAGTTATGTTGATCCATTGATCCCTAAAGTGGCCACTAAAATTTTTAGGGGTCTAGTAATAGCACTTAGACCTTTATAGTGCCCACTAATTTTAAACCCCTTCAGTGGTCACTAACTCGACTACTTTAGTGGCCACTAAAACGTCAAAACCCTATAATGGCCCCTGAATATTTTCCCAGTATTATTACTTTTTCTAAAATTCTTTACCTTGGGAAGCTCTACAAGACTGTTATTTCCAAGAAAATCGGCAGTTTTCCCGTTGAAATTCGTGCCCCAAAGGCTCATTGGAAACCGAGAAAATTTGATTTCCCGTTTTTCACTGTACTTCATGCATCTTGCTTGTCAGTAGACCCAATAAAACATTTATTTTTGTACAAGAATGATCAATTTAACGACCCCAAGGGGTGTGAACGCCAGGACGAGGATGGTGGATGACCTGTCCGTACGGGTCGTTCCCGCGGTTGCCTCCCGAGTTCCAGCCGCCTCCAGAAGAACCGCCGCCGCCGCCCGAGTTCCAGCCGCCTCCACCGTGGTTCGAGCCGCCGCTATTCCAGCCCCCGCCCCCGGAAGTGGGACGGCCGCCGTTCCAGCCGCCGCCGCCCGTGTTGCCTTGACCGCCGAGGCTCGGTTTGTTCCATGTCTTGTACGTGACGTCATCGTCGCCGAAGAACTTGGGCACCTCCTGAAAACCACCATGTCTTGGGAGACGAAATGACTTAGAAAAAATTTTTTTTCTCGGCAGACTGCTAAAATTACTTCTTTTTGATGTAAATATTGAGATCTTTTCTGATTTTATAACATTTTCAGAGCTCAAATGTTCTGGAAAAATTTCCAGTGGTCACTTTAGGGCTGTGACGTTTAAGTGGCCACTATAGTGGCTAGAAGTTAGTAAGAAGAAGAAGAAAGGGTGATGCTAGATCTTTAAAAGTTGTAGTGGCAACTAAGACGCAGAATAGTGACTACTATAGGGGCCTCTTTAGTGTTCTCTCTATGTAGTTCTTGAGAAACCTCTTAAGAGGCGACTATGGTTTTTTTCAGTTAGTTATACACTGTTAAAGTCGGAAAACGGGTGCGAAATGGCCGCAAAAAGGGTTCCATTTTGCGGCCTTTATTGAGCCTTTTTTTCTTCGCGGGCTAAAAAAGCCTCAAAAAAAAAGGAAAAGGGTGCTGAAAGTCGCGACCATTGTTGATTTCCGATTTTATTACTAATGGAACTTTTTGCATCCATGAAAGTTGCTCAAAGGGCCAGTAAAGGGTCCTTCAAACGTTGCCTATAGACCGACCTCATAATCACCATCCTGGGAGACGACGTCGGCGAGCTTGAGAGTCATCAGAAATAAGAAGAAGTTCACCTTCGATCCCATCGACCGAGTAGATGGAGAAGGAAATCGAGACGCGGCCTTTTATACACCAACATAACTCGATTTGGCAAAGTGTCCTGAAAGGAATCTTAATGTTTCGAAGTTGTTTGCGTGGTTTCGAGGCATTGCTTCCATTAAAAATAATCTCATTTTGTTTGACTTTTTGAAATTTTCCCACAAGATCGAAAATAAAGAAAAAAAAAGATGGTTTTTTGCAAAAACATTTCTCGAGATTTTAATTCAGAAACTGGACTATTTTTTTGGCATTTATTCAGTTTTTTTCTTAAAGATTTTTTTGGCTAATTTTGAAGAAAAAAATCGAAATTTCAAGTTGAACCAACATATGTACATGCAATCTTCCAACTTCTGACGACCTTTTTTTGAAATAACGAATTTTTTTTTTTGGAAGAATTCAGACCGTTTTTTTCAGAAAAATCTGGAAGTTTTTGAGCCTTTCTTTAGGTAATATCGAATTTCTTATGCCTTTTTACAACACCTGGGATTTTTTTCCTGTGTATTTTTTTCCAGAAGAAAAAGAAGAATTTTTCCAAAATTTCTTTTTACTGTCCAAGACCTCCCTCGCAAGAAAATTTATAAGAAAAACTTCTGACAATCTTTTTAAAAAAATACATTTTTATTTTTCAGTGGACTTTTTTTCCATCATTATAAATTCAGAACCTGCCCCAGAATCATCTTACAAGAAATCGGGCCGGATTTCAGAAACAGCGAATTAATAACTCTTTATTTAGGTAATTTAAAGCTTCTTATGCGTTTTTACAACACCTGGGATTTTTTTCCTGTGTATTTTTTTCCAGAAGAAAAGAGGATCCTTCCAGAATTTCATGGACTGTTTTTTTTTTTTCCAAAACCTCCCTCGCAAGAAAATTTATAACAAAACTTCTGACAATCTTTTTAAAAATACATGATTTTTTTTCTTTTCAGAGGACTTTTTTCCATCATTATAAGTTTCGAAACCTTCCCCAGAATCATTTGACAACAATTTTGGGCCGGATTTCAGAAACAGCGAGGTTTTTTGAGTATAATAACCCTTTCTTTAGGTAATTTTGAGTTGCTTTTTGGCATCTGGAATTTTTTTTCTGTAGGTTTTTTTCATAAATCAAACCGTTTCGGAGATCATTCCAAAATTTCATGGACTTTTATTTTTTCCAAGACCTCCCTCCCAACAAAATTTATAACAAAACTGCTCCTTTTCTCCTTGCAACTCCTCGTTCACATCAAATAACAAGATGGAAATAATTTATTCATGTAGTTTCCCAGGTCAATATCAGAGTGAAAAGTCGAAGACGGGCCGTGAGCGTGGCGGCGTCCTCAGAGGCATTCCAGAGATTCGGCGAACTGCCATCTTCCGCCAGAAGTCGTTGTCCAGAGGGCTTCTGACGGGATTCTTGGCGACGTTGAGGAAACCGAAAGGAGGTTTCGACTCCAATGACGTCACCGGCGGGATGAGGTCGTCGTACGGATAGTAGTAGGCCGACGTCGAGGTCGCCAGAAGCAGGATGAGCGGGTTGAACATCCTTTTTCGGATTTCACCTGAATTTGAGAGCATTTTCGAAATAGCATGTATAGTCTGTGTGGCACGACTTGAAATTTCACGGAACGACATTCCGCTGTTCCGCTGCGTGCGTTCGCGAAGCGTCTTTCGAATCTAGGTCACGCTTTCAATTGATTGTTATTGCTGTGGGAGCACATGGAAGTAGAGTACCTTAATAAAAAAAATAAAAAAATAATTAAAAAGCGCGACCGAGATTCGCAAAGGTGAACAGCGGAAAAAGCGGAATGTCGTTCCGTGAAATCCCAAGTCGTGGTACACAGACTATAGATTATATTACTTTTTAAATGAAGTTTTTTTATGAGGCTTCTTTCGACAATATTTCTGATTTTGTCTTTCTAACTGCGTTTTTAAACCGAAAAATTCCAAATTCCAGTCTAACTCTACCAGTTTTCATTTATCTAACCATTTTCTGAGATAAAAGTGAGACAAACCAAAGGCGAAAAATAGAAAAATGAAAGATCGGGCCATATCGATAATATCGATAACGGGCAAAGTCGGAATGGTGGATAATGGGCGCTAAAAAGGAGAGGCTCAAAAAAGGCGTCCCTTTAACGAGCTTTCCATTTTTCTAGGATTTCAAAGGCTCAAGAAATGGTGGGAAAAGGGAGAGGCAGCAGAAATTGTGCATTAAAGCCGATAAAATGGAGCAAAAAGGGTGCCTTCATCAACCTAAAAGGAACATTTCTATGGAGCCTTTATGAACCCTCGGAGGGTCATTCTGACTTTGCCTATGTCGAAGCCTAGCCTGGCTCAAGCCCGCACAAGCTTTATCGCAAAAATGAGGCCTCTCTAGAAAATTCAACAAAAAATCGTTTTTTTTTTTCTGAAATGAGATACGACTGTGTTTCGTATAGTGCTTGTAGAAAGATTTTCATTGCAAATTTTGAAAAAAAATTTCCGGAAATTCAAATTTTCGGGTAAATTTTACAAAGACTGTAGGAGACGTAAACAGGGAATAAAAGAATTCCAAAACCGCTTGAAGCGGCGGAAAAAAATAATAGCTACTGAAGAGCGACGTCGACGCGACAAAAACTGCTTGGCAACCTCAATTTTTCATTCTTTTTTTTCTTCATTGCTTATTTAAATGCATATTCATATGGAAACGCCTTTTTCGAAATATTTCTCTGAATTAAGGAAAAACTTTTTACAATAATTTTTCTTCAGAAAGAAAAAAACTGGAGAAAGAAAAAAACAAGATAAAAAAACTTCAGAGCCACAAATTTGAGGAAAAAAATGAAGAAAAACTCGAATTTCGACTACAATGTCGAGAATGAAAATTTCAAAACAAAGGCTCTATTTTATTGAAAAAAATTCAAATGCTACATTTCGGGGTATTTTAAAAGTTGATTTACCTTTGTGATTATTTCCAAGATCTCCGTTCGATTCACAATGAAAAACTCTACAAAGTGCTGCTTTGAACTGAAACATCGTTTTTTACTGCCCCTATGCCTTTGAGTTTTTTTTTTTAAATTAAAAGTTTCGTGTCTCTTCATCATGCAAAGTCAGCGCGTGCGAAGCATAAACACCGATCCGGAGAGATACGCCAGCGTCGAGCGTTCGTGGTGTAATGGTCAGCATGGATGCCTTCCAAGCATTCGACGGGGGTTCGATTCCCCCCGAACGCAGAAACATTTTTGCCGGTTTTTCTTCTACTGTTCTGCTGTTAAAAAAGTTCAGGATTGTGTTTTCTAACCTCTTACACCTTGCAGTTTACGTTCTATTCAACTTTTAAAAAATTTGCCAAACATTCTGTGTAAAATCTTTACTTTAAGATCTCATTTTTAAGCTTAGAGGGGCCTCAGCACAACATATGCAACAAAGCGCGATTATATGAAAAAGCGCAGAAGAACGGACCATAAGAACATGTTTTCAACGGGTACAACTACAAATTTTCACTTCTATCTCGTCAAAGGCTTCGATATTGCTTCGAAAGTTCTTGCTGACCGCCTGGTCGATTACATGCAACAACATCATAAGTATCGATTGATTGAATCATGCCTTACTGGTGCAAAAAACCATAGGACGTATTTGCTCAGCGTCGGCCATCTTCGCACGTTTTATCACTGTTCCTCGGCCATGTAAACAGATACCTTTCGTCTTCCATTTTTGTGTTTTAGAGCAGAAATCTTCCGATTTTGTGCAAATAATTTCATGATTTTATTAGCTTTTCATAACTCACTTTTTCTTTTTGCTACGACAGAAGATAAAGATTTTACGACGTTCATTTTACTATGAAGATTTTTCTGAGACAGGCCATTACTGAAGTGGTCCCTATAGGGGCCCTTGAAGGCACCCCTCTTGGGAACACTTCAATTTCTTTTGGGTGCACTAAATCTTGCAAAAGTGGTCCCTTAAGAGGCCGTGCTAGTCAATTATTGTGAAATCCATGGAAAGAAACCTTCCATGCCAAAAAATCAATTAATTAGCGTTTTTCGAAAGAAAAATATCAAAATGAACTGATCAAGTTTGTCTTTGTAATTTTCAAATCTCAAGAAAACATTAAAAGAACCCTACAGGGACCACTTGAGGGTTAGAGGCTTGACCCTGAATCCCTACAGATACTACTAAAATTTCACCCCTTTTTGAAGCCTTCTTTTACCTCTATAGGGACCACTCTAGCCCTCCTGAGCATGATGAGGGAAAAGAAGACGCAGACAGGTCAGAAAATTTCGAGTATTTGAGTTTTCAAGTACTTTTCAACCTTAGGATAGGGTCCGCAAGCCATTTCTTCAGAATGATTCAAAAAATATGTTTTTCACATTGTTCGATAGGGGAGACTGTCCATTTTCATAATCCGTTTAGTTTTTGAAAAAAGCTCCACTAAGAAAAAAGTTATGGCCAAAAAACGAGCGCGCGCGGCGTACAACTGGAGGCAAAATCTCACGGTTTACCCGCTGCCGCACGCTTTCTTTTTAAATGTTTTTGCGCGTTTCTGGACCGTTTTTAAATCGGTTTTTTGTTCTGAGAGGTTGTCCGAACTGAGCCTCATGTTTTGATATGAATCTTTTGTACAATCCTCATAAGAAGTTTTGATGAAATATCAAAAAACTACCTAGAAAAAAGGTCAAAAGGATTTCAGCTTATTTTTCTTTTTTCTACTCAGAAAAATTATTATCATTCGATTTGGAAAAAAGAAAAAATGAAAAATAATGTTATTTCGAAATAAAACAGGAAAAAGTGCAATTTGACTCCGAAAAACGGCTCCTGCGACATTTAAAAGGGCGCATCGGTGTGTTTGACGCAAACACTGCTACGGACACTTGCACGAAATCTTCCGAAATTTCAAAAAAAATTGCCATTTTTTCGAGGATTTCAAAGCCGTTATTTTTTTCGCGTCGATCGATTTTTTTCATAATTTTTTCATTGATAGAGTTTTGAACGCTTAATAACATAATCAAAAATATAGACGCGATCCTATTCTCTCATGCGTCAACGAGGCAGGCGAAAAAAAGGAGGTTTTTGGTAAAACTCAAATATAATTTGATTCGCTGTCCCAATAATTATTTTTCATTTTGAATTTTTTTATTCTTGGACACACTGTTAGTTTTTAAATCAAATAAAAAGTATACCATGTCGCTGAAATTTTTTTCGCATTTCAGCTTCAAAGTTTGGTGTCACTTTACAAGCTTTTAATATTTTTTTCGCGTCGGTAGATTTTTTTCATTTTCACTCAAAAAAATAAAAGAAAGTGTTAATGTATAACATACTAAAAAAATTTGGAAGCGTTCCTCACTTGGTTTTCTGAAACGCGACGATTTTTGTGAAACTTGTCAGTTTTTTTCGTGTTAAATCTTACTTTTTTTCGCTTATTTTTTTGAAAAAAATACATAGTTTTTAAAAAAATATTCAGTCTTGTAGAGCGTTGTCGATTACATAGGTTTTCAGAAACAGTTGATTTTTAAAGTGGGACTTTAGCTAGTATAAACGCCTCAAAACCGTTTTTGCAACAAAAAAATCGTCATTTTGGTGGCGTGAAGGGGCGGGGCTTTGCGCCCCCTACCTTAGGATTCGACAAAAAGCGATTCGAAAGAAGAAAAAAAAGTTATCAATCATCAAGGTACCGCTAGATCGTTTCAATGTTATCTGGAATCTCCCATCTCGTCACACTTGTCACAAATCATCTCACCAGCTCGCACATTTTTGATGAATTGGTGGGAAATGGGGTGAAACATTTGCGATATCGGTTCTCACCTTCTCAAGGTCTTCACTTTCCCAACCACAGAACCTTTGAAGTTGCTTCGAATAATCGTTTTTTCTTTTTTCTTCAAATTTAT